GAAATTATCGACAGTCGATATACGTCGGAATATAACACTGAGGGAGGACAACCGTGACCGTGTCCAAACATTCCTGAATTCTTGCTTTCCGTCGTGAAGTATAATTCGTAGTTTCCGTATAATCACAGATAAAGATGTAATTACGGTGGAAAAATGCTGATACAGGTGCTCTGGCTTGAATCACTGAAATGGGACGATCCACTACCGCATATGTTCTTCAAGCAGTTTGTCGCTTGAACTCGCCAGATATCTACGCTATCGACTATTCATGTTCCTCGCCGATACATCAATTCGCCGTGGGAGCCGACTAAGCATCAACGACAAGTTTCCGGCGCCGCTAACCAGCGTTCTTACGCAGCCGCCGCATACATTCAATCCATATTCGAGGACGGTAGCGACGAATGCGCTCTGGTGATGGCGAGGTCTCGACTCGTTCCCCGGCAGAAAACCTCGCTGCCGAGACTCGGACCTAAGGCCGCGGTGATTTCAGCCCGACTGAAAGCGTGAATCTTGGAGCGAATCAGCGTGACGATCACCGAGTCTCCATTATACCGACTCCGCTGTGACCTTTCACTGGTGTACTCCCACGCAGCCCACTCGCTGGAAGACTTTCGTGTGCAACAGAGTGATGGGGAATCAGCGGCTATTGTCGCTAGACAGCATAACATAGCCGATATCGCATCTCGGGGGGTCGGCGTGGATGATTTGATCCCGAAGAATGAGTACGGGCCGCCCTGGCTGTCGGATCCTGAGGATTCCCGCCCAGTGTGGCGTCCGCGGAATGGTTGCAACGAGTCGAATTCTGTTGGTAAAAAGCTCCGTCTTGTAGTCACGCGTCATCGCTAGCTAAAACCCATGCAGTGAGGCTGCCAGCCTGCGCGAAAATGGACGCATTTGAGGATCAGAGATCTCGTCGAACATCGAAATGTCCCTCAGAGTAGCGATCCTGATCAGCAAGGTCGGAATCATCACGGGTTCCGCCTCCGAGATCCTCTACTGACTTCGAGGAAACGAGGGGAAGATGTGCGTTTGCTTTTTCCCCGGATGCATATAGGTCTCTCCGCGGTTCGCCGAGTATAGAGCATTATTAACGGTGACATGCATTCCTCGATCGGCATGAGGTCTCCGCAACGCATATCATCCATCACCAATCACCTTCGTCGCGGAGTTTCCCCTGTACGATCGCGCTGTACCCAAAGACCTTTAATTGTCACATTTCACATTCTGGTTTTGCTAGATTCTTTCAGCGTGTCGCTGCCTCATCTGATCATTCACTGCATTCACCAATGGGATCTTTCGCCTGTGTATGATTCGACCTTATTCCTCCCTTGATCTTTAGGTCGATTATACATACCCCCAATTTAGCAGAAGCGCGGGGCCCCCAATTTCGATGCATATGCATACTATATCTTATTTCACTCCATCTGCGCGGTACTGGTCGGGTCTGAATCGAGGTCTACCGAGTGGATGCGAATGACCTACAATCTGGGAAACTCGAAGCATAGCATTGATGATGAACTTCATTGATCATTGATGGTGATGAGCTAGTTCTTCTTTGGGAATTCCGGAACGACTCGCAAGACTCCTCATCATTTTTGAACCCGTGGGCGGCCTCGCCTCCTCAACTCGGTGAGACTCTAGAAGGGAAAGCTGTACCTATCCCCCCTCCCGACGTGATTCAGCGGCCGCAATGTACAGAGCCACCACTGAAATATCCCCGCCGGAAGTTTCTTCCTCAGAGTCAGCTCCTTTAGAACGTACCGAGGTGTCACCTAGCCACTGCTCTTCGCCCTGCAAAATCTAGTTCGGAGGCTCCGACACCGCAACTCTCTTCTAAGAGGAGCCCTTTCCGATCTCTGACTCGAAAGAGGATGTTCTCGGGACCTCCTCTCTGTGGGAATCGTTACGGACCAGCGAGCTCGTGAACTCGCACGCTGGCATCTGAAATCACATGAACCTTTCACCTGAATTGTCGAGCTCCCACCATAAGCTTTGCGTAGGATGTTTTTCCTGGATTTATTCCGATTTCCAAGATGAATTCGATGAATTTATGGGTTCAGTAATGAAAACAGTTTTTCCCGGAGGGTTCACGAAAGTCGGCATCTTCGAGATGCCTTCGTACTGGAGCGCGATTCTCACACGGATTTGGCTCCTCGAATAAGATTTAATTTCAGGACTTCTTGTACGGCCGCTCCGTGAACCCAGTCAATTTTGTGACCCTGAATTTCACTCATCGCCTGGGCCGAGAATGAAATCTCAAATATAATGATTGGCGCCTCCCGAAGTCTCGAAATCCGTCGATACCGGAAGTCGTCTCGCTCAAGTATGAGATCACTTTCAATACTCACGAATAATTTCAGACTCTCCGGATTGGTCGTGGAGCCTCTGAGGAACGCCGAAACCACTGCCGATTCGAGACATCTGGCCATCAGAAATCCGCCGGCTCTGTTCGCGCACCCTTGGGAGGGGAGTCTCGAATTATTAGCGATTCCCCATCCGGATCATGGACTCCACCATCGGGTAGAACTCACCTTCAAGTCAACATGTAAGGCAGATAGTTTATACTTGGTAAGAAAGTATATTACCAGCGGAGGCTCTCGTCGTGAAGTCTTCCAAAGAGAAAGCTCCATCCACTCTTCCGAGACTCAATGCGTGAACCAAATCCTTGAACCGGTCCAGGAAAAAGATCCTATCCGTGGACGCGGGAATTATAGGTTCCTTGCCGAAAATGTCGATCAGCAGCTCCTTGACGATTTCGCTGCATCTTTCAAAAGGGTTCTCATCTGCTTCCACTACCAAGGCTCGTCCTGTAGCTTCACTCATATTCCCATATAGGCACGATTGTTCCACACTCGTTCTGTCCTCGGACGAGTAAGTGAACGTACGCGAATAAACCCTCATGTCACCATTCGGAGTCGACCGCATTTTGCACACACGTTCCTCAGGACACTCCGCGTCGAACGCAAGAAATACAGAATCTTCATCGGAACCCAGAATGGCAGTCCCGGGAGTCAGCGACCCGTATGATGCCAAAAGAGTGGTGACACTCAGCCAGCGGTAGAATCCTATGAGAAGTTCAACCCAGGAATGAAGGATAGGGTGCCCTTTTCATTGAGCACCGGAGGATATATCGTGCATCGTGACCTTCAGGTCTCAGACTGTCACCTGAATCGTCTTCGTCGAGGCGCACGACCAGCTCTCGCTGCTCTAGGAAAGGCTGTGCCCGGAAAACTCGCTCGACCCCCGAAATCAAACTCGGCGATGGCGCCTTGAAAGTGTAGAGCTTCAGCGGCGTGGAATTTCGTTTCCCCCGGGGAATGACCGTCATCTCATTCCTCAAGGCAATACTGAAGCGAAAAAACATGGATTGCCGACTGAATATCTGCAAGTCTGTTAAGCCGTCCTGCCTCGACGGGAAATGCCGACTCACTCGATCTTATCCACGTTCTCAGCCGTGAAGGACTTCGTGTTTTGGAACTTTCGGAATCGCATCCATCTCAAATAATGTTTATTGCTCGATAGTGCCTCAAAACAAGCAATCGAAAGCCTCGGAGTTTCATCATCATCCGACAAAATGATCACATATTGTCTGAAGAGATAGTGTTCGAGGCTGGACGGGATCCCTTCTGGGTACAGATCAACGGTTTGGAACTCTCGCCAGCTCGTTTAGGTAATTCATCAATCTGTCTTAACTCACATAGAAGGTTCTTCAGAGATCTTCCGAGAAGCTCTCACAGCTATTAGGGCCACGGCCACCAAGACGGCGAGGAGGATTATATAATCACAATGTTTTCTCCGCATGTATCCTTTGCATGTTCTCTGAGTCCTGTCCTCATTATCCCCACTGGCTGATTCGTTAGCTACAGTCGTTGTCAAAACACCCGAAGGCTCTGTCGGATTCGTCATCGTTGATCAACGAAGGAGCGACCGCTCATGCACAGAATCAAGACATGGATAGTGTGGGATTCCCTCAGAAATGTGATCTTGAAAATCTCAGAATCACCACTTTCCCTAGCCCCGAGAGCCAGCGAATCGATGGAGATCGCGTCAGAAGCACAAGATTCTACAGCTCTTTTCCGAAAGCACAATCAACTTTCGAAGAGCTTTCATGCTTCATGGAAGTCCCACGATCGCTATCTACCCTGGTGAGCTGGGAAGGATTGGGGCTGACCCATTGTCACCGAAGGAGACCCTCCTCGGACGATGAATTCAGTGAGGAAGAGAAATGCACGCTTCGCTCCGATATAATTGGCATATAATAACCGGACAATTCCACCAATTGCACTATTTCCGGTCATATCGCGTCTCTGATGATGAGGGAAGCCTGCGCGAGCCAATCGTCTATCATCAGGTATTATATTTTCCGGAATGAATCAGCCCAGGCATGAGAACGCGGTTTTACGATACCGGTATCGAGGGGACTAATCGCATTCCTTGAGTTTTTCACATCTTGAATCTCAAAAGTAATTATTCAGGTTCTCCAAGGTTCCCCGGGAGACAAGGGGCTATTCGGATCTATTCATCCTTTCCTCAAGAGGATTGGCTCGAATCGCCTTCCGGTGAAGGTTCGAAAGGGCTCCGCGACCGCTCGATATCCGCCAAACTGAAATGTGGCCTGGGAAGGCAAGTCAAAGCTCTTGCCCCCGATAAGAATCGAGAGACTCGAGGGGGAGAGATAGAAGCAGAAGAAATATCCTTATAGGGACGGGAAGTGAACCGCGCGGCTCGGGAGAGTCAGTCACGCTCCGAAGGAATTGAATACTCGATGTGCTCTCGGATCTATTCTACTGGGTTAAGGAGAGGAAACACGCAGTCAGTTCCTGCTCCGGCGGAATGTCTGCATAAATATCGGCTAACTCATTCTTAGTGGCACAGCATGTCCGTTCGTATGTCTCCCGACGAGTGGGAGCTGTTCTCCAAGAATTAATGTTATTGTTCCTGAATTTGCGCATCGTTTGTAAGTTTTAAGCATCGTTGTCAACCGCGACTTAAACCCGGTATTATCCCTTGCATCCCTGGGGGGTGAGATGAGTGAAGTCCGGATCGTCAACGTAGCCGAGCACGTGTTCGAGCGCACTATCGCGAGCAACGTCGAACTCCCGCATGATCATGTAGTAAGCTTTTATGTATATGACGTCGTTGTTCCGACTGAGGAAAGGGTCGGTGTGCTGATAATTCGGAACGTTCACCTTGAACACATCTGGGGAATAATGAGACATTCGAGAGGGATGTGATCCGGGGAAAAATTACCAACGATACGCAAGGTGCCGGAGCAAGCCCTACATTTGTGCGGGGATAGCTTCCCGCTGATGATTCTGGAACAGAGCGAATTCCGGATCCTCTCGTAGTCTCTGGGCTGACTGAACAAATCTGTGTTAACCTCGAGGATGGCTACCGGGACAGTGACCGCACTCAAATGATACGATTGCACGTCCTGAAAGCGGACATAAGCCTTACTGTCCGGTTCTGCCTGAGCCAATGAGCGATAAGTTTCCATCGGGCATTATTATGCGGACGAAGAATCATGTCCTCGCACCTCAATGTCGTTGAATAGAAACGCTCTGGGATCTCTCCTGAACCAGGCTGATGAATAAGACTGGAAGTTCCGACTCATAGAATTCTGCGCAAACTGAGTCAGTTCCCGCGATGTGGTCCGGTCGGGGAAGGTCCGGGTGAACAGTCTTCCGATGATGTCCTGGAGTTCAAAGTGATGCTACTCGCGCCTCTGAGGTTGAAATACCAATGATTCCCGCTTATTGATTGTTTTCAATCCAGTGAGGCGTCGTTGTGCCTTCCTTGTGGGAGCTCTAACTAACTCACAACGTCAATGTTGACTTCTGTGAAGCACTTCGGGAATCCTGTTAAGAGAAAATTGACCACGCATCTCTTGACTGTTGGCAGTCTTCGGGCGAGGACTTCAAGAATTTCTGGGACTGGGAACCAATGAAAGGGAGCGAAGAAGAAATTCGTGTCGAAAATGCTTGCAATATGGGTTCCTCCCTGGAAGTTAGAAGGACGAATTCCGAGAGAGAATGACTTACGCAGGCCCGTCCGCACATACATACGACACGACTTTTGAGGAGGGGAAGACCCACCACGAACACGAGAAGTTTCAGCAAGCGCATGAGGAGTTCTAAGAACGGATTGGGTTTCTCGATGGTAGTCACCGATGAGATGAGCATCAGGAGTCGAACTTTATCGTTGTATTCCTCCCTGTTCGCAAGAAAACCCAGCGCCACGTAGGTTCCTTTGGAGAAGCCAATCAAATGGAGATCCGTGCGGTTTGTCTTCCGCAAGACAAAGTCGAAACAGGTCGGGACATCGTAGAAGATATTATGGTCTAACCTTCGAAAATACATTGTCCGATGAACGAAACCCCAGAATGCTCCTGGGGATGATGGGAAGCCGATTCTCTCGGACGTCGCAAGGAGCTCCCATCTTCCCGGTCTTCGGAAGGAGTTCGGGTCGCGACCTCTACTCTCACACGAACCCCGAACTACACGACGGGTAACTTACGTTGTATCGACAAGTCCTGCATGAGTCACCTCACTGTATATGCTCGCTCGGAAGTTCACGACGAAAACATCGTAACCTTGATTAGCAAGGGTCATCGCGAAGTTGCCTTCTGCCCGGTTCAGGAAGTATATATCGCCGTTTGTGACGACCGCATGCAACATCAGCACTGGGATTTTCGTGCCCCTCACATCAGGATTCCAGACATGATGAATTTTCAACGTCACGTTGTCCTGTGTCGTGACTTCGAGCCACTCGAAGCTCAAACCATAGCTACGGATGAAATGGTCCTGTGGAAAGTATTCCTCAATGCAATCGAAGCGAGACACGGAAGGATGTTGTCCACGTACCAATAGCTCAAGGTTTCGGGGTGGGGGACAAGACATGGACTCTCTTTCTGATCCGGAATTGGGATATGGAAGTGGATGCCCTCTCACACTAGCCTCGGATGCCCGGACTTTAGATGATTCGGAGTTTCTCCGCTACCGAGCTGATCGATGGGCGATGCGCCCGGGCATGTTATGTCGGATATCCGTTTTGAGCCAACCAAGTGTATCACTATATTGCAGCGCTCACATTGTTTGGAATGCCCGTCGTACGTGCTCGAGCTTCCCATCGCATCCGATAATTCCGGCGGTTCCGCCTACCCCTCACAGAGATCTGAACATCAATGTGGGGGTTGCATCGAGCGGGAGGCTTAACTCACCGTTCCTTTCCGCCATGATTTGTTATCCTCGTCCAAGCTCTTATTCTTGAGAGTTCTGTAGCGCACCGTGTTGTTCTTTGCGTGGCACGTGGTCACCGTGAGTAAAGCCCAGGAAATCAAGCAAAGCCTCATCGTCCGCCCGGACGCTCACGAGGAAAAAAAAGGCGAGACACTTTTTCTTTCGCAGTGAGCGGGTCCAAAGATGACCCCGTCTGATTCTCCGAACCGAAGTGTCGACAGCTGAGAGGAAATCGCCGGCTGCCACCAAGCCGAAAAACTACCTCCGCCCCAGGTTAACTTGACTCTCGATGAGCGAAATTCCCTTCGTACTGAGATGATCTTGCTTGAGGGTCGGATATGAACGCTCAGTGCCCTCGCGGAAATACCGAGTGAGAGAATGAGATACGCGGAGCCGGTGCTAATTTACCTTTGTCACAACCACATGCGTAACGCTGACGGGCATTTTGTTCCAAGCTGTGGCCTCATAAAATCTCATCCATTCTAGACACTTCCACCTGCATCCATGACATCGGGCGAGAACTATGGACTCGGGCTCGCGATACTCGAGAGCCCTACTAAATCTTGCGGCAAGATAGCGGAGGCTGGCCGCTTATGCATCGGTTCGTTGCTGAGCTTGGATTGTATTAACGGCTCCGCGCGGCGTAGGACGAGCCGCATGTGGATCAGCGGCTCCTCCATGAAGGAGCTTCTGCTGATGACTTCCCCCGATGCTGGTCCCTTGCGGGTGAGGATTCGACGACACACGGATGGAACAAACCTGAGCGAGGAAACGAACTCCAGATAATTTTCGGCTGCCTCTCCGTCGGACGATATTCTACAGCGAGCCTCTTTCCCCTCATGCAAACGATTAGATATACGTAAGCGTATTGGCCAACTCGACTTCTGTAGTCGCGAACACAATTATACTCGGCTGACGCCGTGCCGGCCACACGGTCCTCTGATCATCGAATAGACTCACCGAGGATCGAGCCGCAACTGACAACCCAAAGTTCCCACGGTCGATCGGCATTCCTTCGGCGCGAAGTCGCGTGGAAGTCCGGAAAAATGGCTCCTGGAGCACGAAATGTATCCACGCGCTCAGCGTTGTCAGAGCCACACGGTTTGGAACACTTCATGCGCTCAACCTGTCGCCAGACATTCATCCGCACATTTCCGGAACTTGTGACATGACAGCGCTGATCGAGATACCCCCTATCTTCGGAGTATCATCGAGAACCTCTCGTGATAACTTCATGTATCGAAGATGGGACTGCACGAATACAGTGGGCCGCGCCAGCTCTCTCGGAGAACGCCTCGGTCGCGGAGAATTCCTCGAAAATCGCTCCGTTTATGACTCGGGGTCGGCTTCCGTCGCCGCTCTATAGCCGGAAAGTCGCGGCACTTCCAGGCTCCCACAGACTCCCCGTGGGGAAACGCCCCGCAATGCAACTGAAACCGCGGTCACGGACCGCGACGAAAGTCGAGCTCTACTTATGCCCGTTCATCATGCTCGATCTAGCTGATGGGTCAAAATCGTGGCAAACAGAAATGATCCCTCTCAACCCATTCTCTCGGTGATCGTTGACTATCGTTTGTCAGGGCGAGGACGAATCACATGCGATAGACTCCCTGATTGACCGAAAGAAGCGGTACGCTTGCGAGTGTTTCGTACTGGAGGCCAATAGGGGAAACAGTCGAATCGGTGTCGACCTGACATGACAAGTCTGCGTTAGCGTGGCTTTTTCGATGTCCGAGTCAGGTGTCATCATCTCTTGCCGTCGGCTCCTGTCTCTTCCATCAGCAAGCAACAACTTCCTGATTCCGCATGCAACGTTCCACACACTTGTCGCTATTTGGGTCCGAATACACTCGGAATGTCGAATTGAGGTCATCATTGTTTCATCGCCATCGATTCCGCTCCGCGAATTTTTCCGCTCTCACAGAAGTTAGTTCAGAGAAGCGAAAATCCAGGAGGGACTGTCAGCGGAGTCAGGCGCATTCCTCCCGCTCAGATCTCCGATACTTCTTCTCTGTTCTCTCCGTGCATATTGACAGAGCTCGCAATATGGGGTTCTTATCTACATTCATTCTATTATTATTGATTCATTCCTCGGAGGACTCTCGAATTTTTTCACGATTCTCCGGTGAGGTCTATCATTGTCGAAGTATCGGCTTCAAGCTCGCCTCGGTGGGGACCCCGATAGCCAAGGCGCCGATATCGTGGAGCTCCAGAAAGATTCGGCTCGCTAGCCCAATGGTTCTCAGATGTGAGACTGTGGTCTCTTTTGGGAGCACAGAGAAGGTTGGAACTCGGGGAAGGTCTCTGGGACGTTTCAGGTGACGTACGAAACAGTTTCCCGGACTAAAATCTGTATGAAAAGGCAAACATTCCGAGAATATTGAATACTGTCGAATCGGAGACCCAGTACTGCCATGTGTCTCATACCAGACTTAGGGGGCCGCGACTTCGCCTTGCTCCCTCAGGGTAGCCGCGGAGGTTCTGATGCTGAGATTGCGGCTCTGGCCATTTGCTTATCCTCGGACTACTTCCGCGTCTCCCCGCCCCTAAAACCAGCTAAGTCCTCTATGCCCTATGCAGTCATTGCGGCAAATACAACTCCAGGCGCTAGAATATAAGTGAGTCAGCTCGCGCCGAGAGTCTTAGTCGATGAAGCATCGGACTAGAGTTCTATCGCCTATGTCTCGGAATGGATGCAAGCCTCCCTATTGGAGTGCTCATATCGGGCTGGAAGAATCTCTTTCTCAGGCAGGATGATCCGTCTGAAGCAAGATTGTCACGAGAATCTATCGAGGGCAAGGTATCGAAGTCATCGAGGATGGAATGGCTTTGTCCTCCGGTCAGTCAATGGGCTCAAGCAGATCTTTTCCCCATCGGAATCGAAACTTGAAGCATCAATGCCAGAGTCTTCGTCGCCGGAGTTCGAGACTCCAAATACCACAGATTATGAACGAGGCATGAGCCCTAGATGATGAGTTTCGGGCTCGAAACACACGAATGGTGGGCAGGGTACCGTAATCCGCGAAGGACGAGGATCCTGGGCACTAATTCATGAATCCGTCATTGTAAACAGGCGCGTCCGCAGGGGGGGGAGGGGCTATAGCCTCCTCCCAGATTGAGGGTTCTCAATACTAGAATATAGGAGCGGGTCGCCATGTCGGAAATCAACCCAAGAGGAATCCTGCGGACCCGACTGATTGTATACTATGCGGGGGGGTGATGACTGTCAAAGAGAGTTTATTTGGACTGCGCTTGAAATGATCACGGTTCTCCTGTACGAAGCTCGAAATCACCGGGTCAAACCACGCCATCGCGAGCAGGGGATTGATATTGATTCTGGCCGTTGAATGGTGATCAATGAGGCGACAAGGTTTGCTTTGTGATCGTTCCTGGAACAAGACTGTAACCCGGCGGGGGGCTCCCGATTTCACAATTCGACTGGAATTCTTCCTCTCCCAATTTCATTTCCCCGAGCTCGGGAATGTTTGTATCAAAATCTATTCTTGAAGCCCCATAGAGCTTCTGGCCATCTCTGTCCGGCCGAAGAGACAATAATTTCCCAGCCCCACTGACCAACGATGCGGTCGAGTCTCCCCATGCGTTCCGGAAGCTTGGGAAGATATTTCCATTCATTTCTCCCGAGGACGTCTCAGAGACGGCACGCACGGTCGGGGAGAGAGGTGACTGAAATCTGCTTCGACGTAACCCAAGACCGACTCCAGAGAGGGATCCAGTTCCAGATCGTGCTCCCGAATCATCATGTAGAGAGCCTTCCCGTAGTACTCACTGTTTCTTACACTAAGCAGGACGTCTCCGTGGTAATAGTTCGCGACGTCTACTTGGAACACATCTGCGGGGAGGTCATTGAGATTTGAGTCTGTATGAGATCGAACACAGGACTATATCTCGTGTGAGAGGTGTCGAGGAGGAAACTCACACTTGTGCGCTGAGAACTTTCCACTGATGATTGTCTGGCAGAGTTGATTGCGGATCCTCTCGTAGTCCTTCGGTTGACTGAAAATCTCTCGCTTCGCTTCTATTATAATATGCGGAGCGGAAATCTTGCTCATGTTGAACGGGGTCGCATCCTACAATAATTGATAGACCTTGACTTTGATGTGTTTGAAATTTAGAATAATCGATGTCCCGGAAAGGGTTTACACATTTTCGGAACGAGGTCTGTGGTGGCCGTAGACGAGACATTCGACAGGGAGCCGCGGATCCCTACCGAGAAATCACAGTAGAATCCGTCGGTCCACGACGATGAGTATGTCTGAAACTCCTTGCTGTATGAATTCTGGCTGAACTGTATCAGCTCGCGGGTGAACCAATGATCGGGGAATCCCCGGATGAGAGATTTCCTTATTATATTCTGGAATCGGATCGCAGACTGTCAGCCACATAGATCGAGGATGACCATCCCACAGGGCTAGATAAGGGGAACAGCTCTCTCGTCTCGAAAAAAATCGTCATAGCTCACAGGGTCCATGTTCAGTTTTGAGGTGCAGTCAATGCTTCCGGTCCAGACGAGATTCACGAAGCATCTCGTTCCGGTCGGGAATTTATTCCCGAGCTCATGCATCAACGTTGGTATTTTGAAGCTGTGCATCCATTTGAAATAGTGATTCGAGTCGAACAGAGTAATGAAGACCTCTCCAAACTGTAAGAAGAGCACAGCTACATCAGAGAATCCCTGAATGGAATCCGCTCTCGTTCGGTCGGAGGGAATTCCGATTCCGGAAGAAGATCGCTCCTGGATCTCTCCCGCAGGTCGGGCCTCCCGTGTGGACATGACTCGAGCCGTAAAACGAGACTCACAAGGAGAACTCCTATTCTCAACACTCTTATGAGTAACCAAAGTGCGGTTATCGGTTCCTCAATCGTAGTGACGGGGACGAGCGAAACATGCAGTCGAACTTTCTCGTTGTACTCAGGTCGACTGGCTAAGAGACCGAATGTAGAGTAAGACCCTTTGGACATGGAGACGATATTCAGCGTTGTATGGCCGGTGTAGTTGAGGACGTAATCGATGTTCGCGGGCAGGTCGTATTTTATGTTGTAATCAAGGCTGCGAGAAAGCACTCGTTTTGGTCATGTAAACTGAGCTGAGAATCCTCCCATCGAGCTCCTTCGTCGGATCGAAGGCTCAAAATGAATTTTCATGGGGCCTCTAACGAGTAATCGTCATAGGAGTAATTTCCGTCTCTCGCCGATGTTCACCTCGTTCTTCTGGTCTCGTTGGCCCGGAGTGGGCTATGGAGCGTTCCTCTGAAGTTCAGAGCAAAGACATCGTAGCCTTGCTTCGCTAGAATCATCGCGAAACAGTCCTCGGGCTGGCTGACGAACCATGAATCCGCATTCGTGTTGAGAGCATGGACCATCAGCAGAGGAACCCTTCTCGCCGTAATTTCTGGATTGTAGACGTGATAGAGCCCTAGCGTGACGTTATCTTCGGTCTGCACAGAAAGCATCTCAAAGCCGAAGCTGTAATTCGCCATGTAGTATTCCTGTAAGTTCGGCAGTTTCAATGTAGCTTTTTTTCGCACGCGGCGACACAGGAGCGATTAATCTCGGCGAGAGCCATGAATCAATGATAGCAGATCCTCCCCATGCTTTCGATACCGATTGTTACCATTCCTCTCTCCCAGATCTCTTCGTCGAGCTGCCAACCCTTATTGACAATGGCACCATAGCTCTTCCTGTTGCCGTTCCGGGAAGAGCATGTACCCAGCACAGCGAAGATCGTCGCTGTGATCAAGAGAGACCTCACCGATCCTAGACCAAACGAGAAATACGAATGAGGATGTTGGTGGATCGAACGCATCAATCTGGACTTAAGTGGGAGACCTCCATTAGATAGAGGCAATCCCGAATGAGTACGCAAATACGGAGCCAAAAGATACGACCGCAGATTTTTCTTCCGAAAGATTACCGAGGATGATGCGGGTGTCCATCGAATCGCGAAAATCTTCGCTTCTTCCCGAATGGTTGTCACTTCAGCTCGCCCGCGACACTTCACTCATCGGCCCCGGATCGATCATTGAAGGATCGTACAGAATCAGCGGGAATAATTTTTTTGGGAGGACGCTTCAGACACTGAACTCAACAAGGGCTCGCCTAGACGCGACCGACAAGGCTCGCCTACTGAATTATGGCATCGTCGGTGCGAGACGATCGGTTTGCCGTTTACTTCTAATTCGTGACGTGCCGCTGCGACACGAGAACCGATGAGCTTTGGGTTGATTATCACAATTTCGTTCGATATCCTGAACGCTTGTCCGATTGACGTCGTCGGCCAGAACAGATGATGGCCCATACTTTCACATCACAACTCCCTGGACTTTGAGCTTGCCAAAGGCTGACGGCTGCACTGGAAGTTTTGAAGCAGAAGAACAACTAAATCCTGATGAGTCCGGGTTGGTTCCAGCCGATTTGGTGAATTGAGTCGGAGGGGAAACGTTGCCATTCAGACATGGGATCCGGCTGGAGATAGGGATTCCTCAAAGTTTGAGGCTCCTCGCAGATGCTCCCAAACGGCACCCTGATTCCATTTATCCGGACTCCTGCGTAGAGATCATGAGGGATATCCGTAACCGAAAAACGCGTCACGATTCCACTCGAAGCCTCGCGCTGAAGTTTCCGTGTTGCTTGCTCCCGGAAGTCACCTCCGTGTCGAAGAGACCAGCTCAAGATGGGACCGCCGTTTCATACTTTCAAGGAAAACTGTTTTCGGAGCCTCAACGATCGAAGCGATCGGGATTGTCGCTCTTTCCAGCAATCCGCTTCGGACAGCATGAGTGATCCCAAGATTGATCAATAACGACAGGCGACACAAGTCGGCTATAGAAAATTATTGTCTCACGAAGTCGGAGACAAGGACGCAATCAAGAGGAACTCTGACTGTGAATTATTCCATGAGGAAAGAATTTTAATTAACCCAGAAAAGCTTTTTTACTGCCTCAGTTTTCGTGGACAGCATTCGAAGTAGAAACGATTTCGTGCGAATCCCGGGCGGCGAGGCTTCACTGCTCGTATCGGAAGGGTCACCGCAGACTATTCAAAATGTCGTCCGCCAACGAAAGAGATCTGATAAAGGAGAACAAGATTCCCAGATCGTGCTGACCCTCCCCAGGGAGGGTAAGGATGCCTACACTGGTGAGATTCTGCCTCCCTCCGATAGACTTGTTGAGCGAGCGACGGAGTCGAGATGAAAGCATGGGGGTGATTAGAAATTACCATCCGTCAGTACTTATACAGGGTGGGACAGTATAAATTCCCCATTTCGAATCATCCCCATGAAATACGAACCAAGGCGGCCAGCGGAATTCCGCTCGCAGTAGAATGACCACGAGGACTTGCAGTTTCAGAAAAAATCCTCTGGTCCGAGACTCCTCACCAGGTGGACGTTCAAAGTTGACTTTTTGAAGTTTCGTTGACGTCATTCTCATAAAGCTCGGTATTGATTCCTGTGGGAAAACCCATTTACCTCGCTTCCCCGCTGATATTTGTTCTCCAGCTCGTAGATATCGGACCAAATGAATTTTTTCCTGAGAGGACGAGTCCTCCTAAACATTTTGCCGCAAAGAGAACTTCGCTAGCCCCCATGATTCGGATTCCATGAGCAAAACAAAATGGGGAGAAGCCCCACCTTGTACTTCCAATCAATATGTGGGCAATCCCGAGGGAAGTTGGCTGGTAGACGCACGGATCATCGGGAATCTTCGTAATCCTGACGGAATTTGGATTTTTGAATAGTGCCGACTATCACTTAGTGGCTTCCCCTATCGCGGCTGAACACGGCATCGAGTGGTTATCCAACGGAAAAAAAACATTTAAGTACATTTCTCCGATCGAAAGATCACTGTATTTCGAGAAGAGCGTTGTATTCACATGGTCCCACCACCTGCATAAATTCAGGTGGCGCGTATCTAAATTACATAGGACCGTACGGTGACGGCTCCAAGGGGTCACGGGTTTTGTCATTCTGTCGTTTGCGCGGGGTCACAACCGGTTGTTACCATCCTCCGTGACCACGTTTGTAAGCGGCGGCGTTTACAATGTTCCTTCCGCCGCCGCCGCTGTGAAGATGCCCAGACCCGTGTCCCTGGTCAGTTTTAACAAGAAGGATTATTTTCTCTTCTGACCGGTGCGGCTGCTGTCGTTTCGGATGGCCACCGCCGGCGCCGTTGCCTCTGTGACTTCTGCAGAGAAAGGATTCGCTGAATACTCCATTTATTTTCTATCGCAAGTATGATGATGTTGAAGTTTCATGGAAGGGCTCAATGTGATGTTTTGGCTCCTCGTTCGATAAGCGTCAACATTTATGAGGCAACGCCTCCCCCCGTGTGGTCTCACCTGGCCAATATCTGTCCGCCATTATCCACCCGTTGGATATGATGAATGGTTCGGACAAGGTGCGTGGGTCCAGATACGGTCAGCGATCTGCCGTGCCCACCATTGCCGATGTGATTCCGATGACTTCTCGGAGACTGAACGGGTGGAGATTGCTTAACGAGGAGGATGGCTCCGCCTTGGAACAAATCTTCTGTGTGATGATTTGTCGAACGAGAGGGCCCGAACGAGGGCGAGTGACCGCCGCTCTGGAGTCCGCCGGAGAAAAATCCGGCTCGCGTCGAAGCCACAAACAGGCACGATAAAACCTATAAAGTAGAGCTTTCCTCAATGCAATCGTCTATCGATCTCCTACAAGACTGACGAACAGACTCGAAATTCAGCAGTTAGGCAGTGGGAGCAGTAGGTGGATTAATTCGCTTCGACGGGCGCTCGATCTCCGCGCTCTCCTCGCGCGTCCGAAACGATGGGAGAAGTCCCCTCAGACGGCCGAAATCAACGAGCTTGATGTTTGCACCGCCTTCGTGAGCCACTGCGATGAGGGATGATAGATGCGACGATCAGCGCTCTTGCGAGTCTAATTTCCGAATGTAAGGGCTAGTGTTTCGCATTTCGTGGAGCGCTGATGATCATGCGAAATCTAGGGCTCCAAGACTGGAGGATATGAGCTTCGCAAAATGAGGGGGAAGACACCACCCGAGCGGAACTATTGAGTCAACAGTCAGCATCATGTCGCAGTTTTCAGCAAACCCTGTCCCGTTCGGTTAATCCTGATCACGGAAAGATTCGCCAAGGAATTTCGGCTGTACTCCGACGCACCAGCAAAACGTCCGTCCCTCGACTTGAACGTTCAACGAAGAGAAGAACGACGGGCTAAATTGCCATTTACAGCGGGCGTTTTGAGCTAAGAGATTTCGGGATGAAGTAATGCCCGCCGAGATCCCGAACGACGGGAGAGTGCGCGATTTCCCACGCAGGAGGAGATCCGGAATTCTCCAGCCATATCGTCATTGCCGTCAGAGCTTACTGCTGGTAGTTAATGATCCGTGAATATCGTCAATCGTGCGTATGTTTGCCCACGACCAGTGAGAGATTGGAGATGGGAGCTGTGGGAGCCTACACTCAATGAACGATGATGCGGATTGTTACCGCATGAAAACAGCCCGTCATGCATGCTAATTGTCGCTCAGACGAGATACACTTGATATACTCTCAGTTTATCGGTGCCATCCTCCATATTCGATCATGATATCTTGGAGAGAAGACTCCTCACCGTATTCTCGAGAAGTGGAAAATGTATAATATGTATGTACTCAAGTCTAAAATTGGAGGAGTTCTGTCCAACTTCCTTATTCCGGATGCACACACTTTCTGAACGAACTCTGAGTGGGCACGAAACGCACAACTCCACAATGGGGTTTTCACTCGGAGATCTCTATATTCCAGAAATGATGACTATGCCATTCACTTACAAGCCACTTCATGACAGCGGTGGAACTGGGGTCGGAACTGCGAGGTGCGCCGCTTAAATAGAAACGACCTTGAGGTGTGTTTTTTTCTCTTGCCCCCGTTGAAGATGGACCGGCTGCTGTGACTACGGCTCAGGTGTTCGCTCTGCTGTTGGCGCTGCGGCGGAATCAGCGAGGGAACCCAATGGTGATCCGATGCCCAGGATCGGCCTCGGTTCCTCCCGAATCGATTCTGGGCATCTGCACACATCAACAGAAACCCCTGAACCAGTCTAGACAGTTAGCTAATTCGATGGCTCGTTGCTCTGCTTTTCCCTCGTTCACGAAGGAGAAATTATTCACCCCAGATTCATTGAGTCGCTATCAGGGCGAAATACATTACGCTCGACGTTTTCGCTGCCACTTTTGTTCTTGATACCTGCTATGCCGGGATGAAAGCGAACCAGTAAGGGTCGTGATCGTGAAGGAAACCGAATGGTAGCAATTTATCATTTGGACGAACATTGGTCATTTCTGACAATTATACTGCGATTCGATATCAGCGATTTGCATCTTCGATCTTCACACAGATCGTGTTGAGAGTCGATCGCCTACTGAGGACCTTGATGAAAAATGTTCCGGGAAGTTTCCCTTGTCAGATGTTCGTGGTTCTTCTCTGCTCGAAGAAGAAGCTGCTAGATATCAATTTTTCTGTTACATCTCGGAATCGCTCTTCGTATTCTCACACGGGAGCATCTGCAACCGATTATAGCTCGCGACCGGTTCTCACACCTCATTCCCCAAGGCTAGCGGACCTCACAGCGAGGCGGTAACCTTAAGAGATCCTCCCCAGATAGTATGTACACTGAGGAGAGATTCTCAGGTTTTCGGCGACGTTTTTCGTCGCTCCAGCTCGACAGGGTCCTGGAGCCTGCCTTCTCAGAAATCCTGAGTGTTCACGATCAACCTTACGTAAACCTTGTCCGGAAATAGGATTTTCATTTTCTTCCTATTCCATATGTCCACCTGTTCCCTCCGCGGAAGTTCGTTCGATGCTCTCAATTTCATCATTTCAATTTCTACATTCCCAACTCGCTCCAACACCCCCATCTTTTCTATATCTCTGATCTGCTTCCTTCATACTGTTGTGAGTTCCCATCGCAGAAGGGCTTAATTCGAAGGCCACCCCAGGAGAAAAATGCTTGGGTTTTGAATGAAAAATGTATGCCTCAGATTCACCACGCCGCGCCGCCGTGTGGTTGTCCCATTGTCTCGCGTACGGTGCTGACGGCGAGCAACGGGCACGAAAATACGAAACTCCTAACGACGGGGTGATTTCGCAACGCAAAACTGTATATTCACAGATTCCGGCAGAGAAAAATACTCATGGGAAGCCGCAGGCGGGAACGTGGATTGACTGACCGGCTGACTGATTTTGTTGACTCTCCTGTTGATTTTCATGAAAGGAAAGTCAACAGAAGAAAAACGTTTCTTTCCCCATCAAATATTGCCTCATCCTTTCTTTCCTTACGGATGCCTCCTCAGTGTCCAATATACTGCCGTCATCGTAGAGACAGACACTGATCACAGATTACGAACCCCGATCAAAATCCAATCAGATCCGACGGTATGCCGGGAGAGCGAAAAAAACGCAATGAGCAAAAAGAAAAATCGCTTTTCGACCACAAGTCAAACATCCTATGAATGTCGGTCTAATTGGAATTCATGGTTTTCACCCGAAAGCTCGCGCATACTAATTAACGAAAGTGTTGCCTAGTCGCCATTGGAGACGAATTATCCTTCTAAATCTTTTCGAATTCGGCTTGTCCGACTGCGGCCCTTGTTCGAAAGAGAGGTTCCCTTGCGCAGTAGCAGCTGTTCGTTTCCCATGCATTTGTAGTGTGACACGGAAGACGGGAAATGCGGCACGGGCCGGTCCCCTCAGTATCAGAAAAAGCTGACAGTTGTCCACTGTGTTGTATCGGATGCTCATAATTTCAAAACATCAAACCGACGAGAATATGCCGCGAGGTCATATATTCGCGCACGGACGATTTGGTAGCCTTGCGATCCAGGCTGAAGTGCATCTGCTCATGGAGGCTCAAGCCTCGAGTACAATGAGTGGCCGATTATCGCGGCGTCGGGAGCCGCGATCCGCGGAATCATCCGGTTATCGAGCTCCCTGGAATCGGGCATGCCGTCACGAGCGAGGGCCGGCGCGGCGCACTCGGATAATTAGCGACAAACAGTATTATTTGACGCTCGAAGGACGGAGTCTGATCAACGGACGCTTTCGCACTCTTTTCTGTCTCCTGTTGAAAACGAACGCGGGACTTTTGGAACGATTGAACACCCCAAGATTTTAGAAGTCGTTAACGATCGGATTTTACACCAAGTGCACGTCTAACCCCGCACAACAAGAAAGAATCCTTCCTTCGACCGTGAAGACTTCAGCACTTCATCGAAATCCAATAGCAGGTCGTGGTATGCTTAAGCCACAACGCTCCCTTTTATGACCCGCTCTTCTCACCTCGAGCCATATCATTGAGCCGTCCAAAGAAAAAGCTGCCGACTTCAGAATTTTAGCCAGATCATGGGGGTGGACTAGGTTATGTGATGTATTCGGAATGGATCGAGCGAACGTCTCCACTGTCGAAGTTGTCCCAGGAATTTCAAAAAGAGACTCTTGATCGCTTTCCAGAGAAGAGGGCATTATAGCACCGACAGAAGATTTCCAGCGTTCGGTACAAACCGATCGATCACCACGGCAAGTGATCAATCCTATTCCACCATCGGACACAATATCCCCAAGATCGGCAATTCATCTTACGTAAAGAGAAACTAAAGCCTGATACCAGTGCTTATTCATTTCGATTTTCATCGATAGCTCTTTGAAGCTTTCTTTCGACGAGCTAGTACGATTCTCGGTCAATGAGCGCTCGTTGCATTACTCAAGCGTTGCTGGACCGAAATGCATCAATAAAAGAAAGTCTGACCATATTTTAGCCTTATACACGCCACCAACGAACTTGTTAGGTGAGGCCGACAACAAAGGTGTAAGTAAGCGCTCGCCGAAGGATGCAACAATTTCAGCGAAGGTTCGCCTCGCGCGACATCCAGGCCACAGGGCTAAGAAGAATCCGTTTCCCTCGGGATCAGGTGAATATGAAAGACGATCAATCAGAAAAATCAATCAACGATCGCTGCCGGTTTCGGTGACCGATTGGCTGACCTAGGGTTGCAATTTTCCAGTGAATCAGAGTCTCGCATCGGCGAGGTTTCTCATTCGTTGGGTTCATTGATTGACTTCAACGACAAGCGCGGAAATCGGACGAGGATGGCGCGACACTTGGACAAACCATCGACACGAAATCGTTCCGGGATTCGGGACGTATTCATAGCGCTCGAGAGCTTCCCAGCGGTGTCACGCAATAGATCGCCGGGGAATCGGTCGAAAGCGACACATGAACATGACAGCCTGCAAATCCCCCCAGAATGGGCCATTCACAGCTTATCTAATTTCATCGCTTTCTCCAGGGGCCCGAGCCCTTCTCCTTTCTCCGCAAGATCAAGAAGTGAATGCGAGAAGTCATCGACTCGCGTTCTTTTTGATGGAGCGAATGGCTTGGGATCGTCTTCAAATGACCAATGTGAGGATCTAAGCCGGAATCCGCTCGAATCCAGAGAATTGACAGTGAAGACATGGCGGATCGAACTTCTGACGTCAAGGGCCACACGGGGAGCAAACGCTCTTGTTGGCACTTGCGGCCCCTTTTGATGTTCGGCGATGAGTTAGAGCTCGGATAGGATTCGACTAAATCAAAAAAATGCCGCACTCCCAGGGCCGGAACCTCGACGACCGACTGGAAAATTGACGTGTTAATCGTTTCATGCTTACTGACAAGAGCAGGATATCTGTTCAGCTCCATACGGCAGCTATGGGATAGCTTGAGATGGATTCGAGAGTTGGAAGTCGTACCCGAGGATTAATAATTTCGTACCCGAGGATTCGTTTTCATACAGAACTCCGAATCGACAGTCACCGCATGTCTGCGATGATGCCCCCATTCCGCAGACGCGACGCGTCGATTATGGAGGGCGGCAGACAGACGGCCTTATGGGGACGTCATCGTTTCTCTCAGCGCATACAATGTCTCATCGGCTCATCGAAGAATTCTGGCTAGCTCGGGGCCGAATGCGAAATAAGTTTCTGAATCCGAACGATGATAATTTCGTACTTCATTCCAATGTTTCCCCCGAATCCCGCTTCCAAGGCTCAGGATCGGAGTCGATGTCTTAGGGACGCCCAACGAGCGGAAAACCACTCATAGCAGTCGTATCTTAAACGTTCGTCTTTCAAAAAAGACGCTATCGATTTGAGGAGTTTCGATAGATCTATGACGAGGCAACACCCTTTATTGCAAAGAACAAGAGCCACTCCGCACAGAAGAAAGCTGGATGCGATCGTTTGAGTCCTCCAGAGTTTCTGAACCCTGGACACGCCCCTAGTCGATGCGGAACAGAAGGATGCACATCCACAAAAACTGACAGACTCCGGAATGCCCGTCGAGAGATTCGTACTTTCGGAATACAGGCATGTAATTAGCCTGATTTCTACCATAAATTCACATCTGGAGCCGCGTTGAATCCGGCGAAACTTTGACCGACTGTTTCGTTTATAAAGTTGTCCATTTATTCCAGCTGGTTATTCACGCGTCGCAGTAATTCGTGGCTCGATCGCCCGGTGTAAACAAGGGCAGCGTATTCAGAAACTTACATCACGGGCTCATTCTGTCGCTTTCGAAGTAAAACGAGGGTTTTCCTCGATCCGGCATAGATGGGAGGTCCTGAAGTCGTAAAGGAACTCGTGTCAATAATTTCTCGCGACCTCAACTTTGAATCACACAACTTCCAACGTCGACTTAATGAAACAATCCTGCAGGCTTGTCGATTCACACGCCCTCTCGGAGCGGAAATCTGAGCAACTGAATTTCGGAAAAGAATTCCGGGAATGAGTTCCCCGAAAGCGCTGCGGTAGTATAACAGATCCTCCGTCGACGACGGAAACACCAGACTCGGAAAGCATGGCGGTGGAGCGGCAAACGGTATCCAGAGATAAGGAGTCTGAACGTCATGGGAATCAATTCATGAAAATCTGTGAAGTCGAACCGTCCGGTGAGATGAAACAATGGGACCTCGGTCAAGGTCGTCTCGTGGATCAAGCTCAATCTCCGACAGCTCGGTCGGAACCGTGAAGTCTACCGTTAATTACCTGCTTCCTTCAAAACTCGGTGTGAAACATTCCACGAATCTCCGATGCTTCGTCTGTGTAAGACAAATTTCCTCGATTGGTTGGGGCGAAGTTTCCAGGTTCGCGAAGTGTCGATTGTTTGTGGACCATAATTCATGATAATCGTTGTTATCCACAGTCGATCGGCTGTTATGTTCTCATCATCTCTTTGCGTCATCGTGCCAGAAGGCTCGTTTCACATCAAAACGAAGGTGAGTTCTGGGAGCTCAGTCAGTCGGGAGGAATCTGTGTACATTAATCATCAGCGCAGAGGAAATGATAAAAGGAAGTTCACACAGGAAGGGTAGACTCAAACGAGCTCTCTGATGTTTCGTTCGCTCCAATCTGTCGTCTTCTGGCTCTCATCGAAGTCACGGATTACGCAGCCTGTCGCGACGTGAGTTCCTGACTCCGCCGCACCCTGCGGTCCGAGCCCTCCTCCGTCGAGTTTCAAGCGTTCCCGGGTCGCATGAACTCCTCAAGGCAAGCTCATGGCTAAAGATCCTCTGCCGCGGTGATATTGCTTGAGAATTTCTCGAATGAGATCCATTCGGATCAGATTCGGGTTCCTGACGACACCGGGCCCTAGTGGGCGCATTTCGGAGCCGTTTCCAGGGGCTTCTTGTAGGCTGCCATGCCGATCATCGTGTCTCAGCCTCAATGTGACCACCGATCTTCCCCATAATACGGGAATGTCACACGCAATGGAGCTCGAGGATTCAAGATGGTCCTGCTGCAATATTCCAGCCTTGTGGGATTCTCTTGATTTCGATCGACGAGCAAAGCAGTTGCATGCTGACACAACCATCGATTCTCGCTTGACAGAAAACTCTCAATCAGACGAAAACCGCTTGACGGTCATCAATCGATACCTTTGTGGGGGTCTGATCGGAAACGAATATCGATTCGTGATTGTGTTTTCACGTTGATTTCCGACGTGCGAGGAAAACGGTCACCCTAATCGATTCGGCTCTCAAATTGAGATCGATCGAATTGTGATTGCTTTAAAGTCGGCGCGCATCGATTGACATTTCACTCAGAGCGAGTGAGCATCAAACAGGAAGCAGCCGCTCGGCCGACTCGAACGGGAGCAAGATGAAGTGGTTTCTATCTTTCGCTTTAGCTCTCAAGTGTCTCAGCGACACGACCGAGGCTGAGGAAGTGATCCTCATGGAACCCTTTGATCCTACGAAGGTAAAGCGCTCAGATGGAATACACTCAGATTCGAGCAGAATCGAGAGGACCTTAGAGGCCACATTTACTAATAACTCCATTCCCGAAAGGCTGGTGGTCTGTGGTACATCTATTCGAGGAACCAGAACCTCTTGGAGAAGACCAACGGCGCGAAGTGTCTCATAGCAGACATCGAACACGACGCGGGTGGCATGGATCTCTACAAGGTTGAAGCCAAGTGGACAGATCCCTCGTAAGGCTCCCGAGATTCCAACGGCCTGTCATTAATTACAATGTCTCATTATCGATTCTGGGTATCTTCGAGATCACAGAATGGTAAAAGCTCAATGATCAGCCATCGAGATAATGTTCTACATTCTTGCATGATGAAGACTCGGCGACATGGATATCACCCTTCACGTCGTGGACGACAAGGTCCATCCAGCGCAGTATTTCTTCCTACATGACGGTGGGTTGAATTACAATAGAGGAGCATGGCCGCCAATCGGCAGCTTTTCGGAACAATGTGTTGCGGAATTCCACTCCGATTCCATCATCGCTCAAATTTCACAGAGCACCGCATCGCGCTCTCCATACTGGGAACAGACTACGACAACTACTTGGTGGGCCACGGAATGCTCGGATTGAAAGGTTCGTTACCTGGAGCCTTACATAGCCGTCTCCAAAACCGGGGACAGAACTCTTGGGGTGAGATCGTCAAAGAACGATCAGGAAACTCTGCCGATCTCATACAGGCTCTGTCCCTACGGCCATCTCTCTTTTCCCGCAGCCACCTACTTCACCGCCTTCCGCAAACTACCGGCCGACCCAGCTGTTATGGCTGCAGCGGATAAAATTCTCCAGAAGAACAAAGTTACCAGGGACTTTCAGATAATCGATCATTCGTCCTGCTGAAACAGCTGAGAGATATGCTTGGAACAGTCTTCCGTCATTCAGAGAGTCATACTACGGGGTGTCGAATGTCTTAAAAAAGTGTAATAGATTCCAAATTCCATTACTCTCATCAAAGAGGCTGTGGCGGATCCTACGCTTCTGACCAAGATATGCACGTGGCATTCGCACTTCCGGAGTACAGATTGAGAGAACAGTAAATACGCAGCTAGCACAAGGTCTCATTTCATTTATGACATTATACACTGTGGCGGAGTCGCTTGAGCTCCGAACCCTCAGCGATCTAAATACGCATCATTCTCGATATGTACATGATTTCAAAAACCTCACGCCATCATCAGAACGAGAACCCTTCTGTCGCAAATATGTACAAGGATTTTCCGCCCGATGGGTTCTGCTCCTCACGTTTCCTCTACCGTGAGCTCATGCTTGTCGACTTCGGCCAGTTCTGCATTGAACTTTTCTATCCATTCTTTGACTCCGGGCTGGAATTATCGACAGAACCTCATGAATTTCCGCCGATCTCAGGATTCTGCTTCGAATCATCAGCTATGCATCGATTGTGGTCGAGCAGCCTGGAATGGTGGATCGATGATGCGCTGAAGAGCTCTCCGATGATGCTTACCTCTTCCGAGACCAACTTTCTCCTCTTCCGTGGACTAGGACGATGGACAATCTCGATTTCTTCGCTTGCAGTGTCCGTTGACGTTTCGGAAGTGTCGGAATCCTCGCACCTCTTCACAGGAGATGGCGGCCGCTTCCGCTTGTACGTCGGACTCGGTACCGCTGGAAAGAAAACGGAACCTTTTCATCTGCAGGAGCCCCATCCGGCCCAGCCACAGAGCGTTGCCGCACCCGCTTTAGTATTCGATTTGACCGGAGTCGTCTGGATCTTTCATCAACTCGTAGATCGCTTCTTAGCCCCCAGAAGCTCTCCACATCGCCTGAGAGCTCTTCAAGCCCTCATGAGTTTGGCCCTATGTCTGTCAAAGAACGGTGACTTGGGAACGACAAGCTGACTGTACGTCCTCCGTTCCATACCTCCGCATCTGTCAAGATTCGAGGACACTGAACTTACCAATCCAAGGGACGTCTCGGAAGATATCGTCCCCGGGGAAGATACTGGTCGACTCCCCGGGGACAGACTTCAAGTATTTGACAACCGGGTTCTCGACAGTGGAGGATTCGAAGAATGTAGAGAGCTCCTCTGGGACCTCATCGTCAAACAAAGAGTAGATCGACGACCTTCCACTCTTCCGTTGATCAACTGTCTTGTGGAATATGGGTGCGACCGAGCTTTCATTCTGGTTCTCTGCGACAAAATAAATCTCTCAGATGACAGAAAAGAGTAGCATGAACCAAGACGATGCAGACCGTCAGGGGTCAATCAAGGGATTCTGGCGCCTTGAAGGTCTCACTCACTTTTCGGTAGGGCTTCGCGGAGATCTTTGCGGGAAGTTCTAGGGGTGGATATCAGCGAATTTTCTATCGATTGGAGCGCGACTCTCCGTGAACTCATGTCGCATTGAAGGTTTGAACAATCAAACTCCCGCCGTATCCCACACACGACTGCTGTTTTTCACATCGGCGCCTCCTTGGGAGAGAGAGTTCGCCAACTAGATCCGAGCCGCGGCACTCTCAAACACGTGGAGTGGTAGATGCCAACGTAGTGAGTGGAACGCACATGGTCCGAGACCTGCGCTACTCAGTTCAAGTTCGGAAGAGAGTGGTAAGCCGACGAGACCAAGAAACCCTCGCGGAAGCTCTCTAGCGCGATGACCACCCGGGTCGAGGATATCTTGGGCTTGAATGGAGAGACAGAGGAAGTCTTCAAGACGATAAACGTCGAGAAGCCGCTCGACTGTGAATTTGACATCGGAGAACTACTGGTTGTGGATCCGAACGCTATCGAGGAGTACAAGTTCAAGTAAGCTGCTCCCCCAGAGTTTTTCTCAGTCATTGCCATTTGACGTCCGTGTCGCTCCAGTGTCGATACTGATCGGGTCTTGTCTCCTACAGACAGAACGAGACAGACTATGTGGACAATTTGAGTCGAGATAATGTTCAACTCCTAATCAACGAGCTGTTCAAAATTCCCACCGAAGTGAAAGAAGATACTGTGGTGTTCCAACTCCCAAAACCAGTGACCAGAATCCCCCGCGAGAAACCGGTGAGTCTCCTCGTCTGGACAAGAGGAAAGCAGGACTTATGATCTTCTAATCGTGATAATGCATGCCTGAGAATTGCAATGGTGGTTTCACAATGCGGTCTCCCTTTTCTCATCAGTGTCCGAAGCCGAAACCGCTGACCAAATGGGAGGAATATCGCAAGAAGAAGGGTCTCCGACCAGCCAAGAAGGAGAAACTCGTCTGGGATGAGGCCTCGAAGGAATGGAAGCCTCGATATGGAATGAAGCGAATCAACTCCGAGAAAGAAGTTTGGGCTATTCCCGTCCCCGAAACAGCTGGTGAGATCCCAGCCCGACCCGTCTCATTATGGGTCAAACAAAACGGCCGAGATCACGCAGAGAATTTCCCGCGCAGTCTCTGATCTCTCGTTACCCTTGCAGATCCCATGGTTGACCAATTCAAATTGATGAGGGAGAAGAAGAAGGAACGCATCGCTAAGAACGAATTCCAGCGACTGAGGAATATTCAGAGAGCTCACAAAGTAAGCCGAGGAGATCTTCTCTGATTATCCTTTCCGCTTTATTGTCAATTATCATTATCATCATATCATATTATAAATATTATAAATATTATGGAACTCTCCCTATGGTCCGTCCGAAATCCTACTTTCATAATACACAACCTGATTTCGTCCCTGGCAGATCGATAAGTTTGCCGTGAGCTCTGTGATGCCGACCGACAAGCCCACACCGGAATTGATGTCGAAAGCCGCTGCTGTGGCTAAAGGTAGCACGGCTTCCCTCGGAAAGTTCGACAGGAAACTGGCGCTCGAGAAGGAAGCGAAGATAAAGGGCAAGAAGCGCAAGTTCGTTGACAATATCGGCTCGATATCCACGGAGAAGGAGCGCACCATGAAAATTCTCGATGAGCTGAACCATTCACGTCCGAAACTCAATTACGCTCGGGTCGTCGAAAAACAAATGAAGAAAGATGTTAAGGAGGAGATCCGTCAGAAAAAAGAAAAGAAGAGAGGAACCAGGAGTTCGAAGAAGCTCGGGAACAAAAAAGCCGCCATCAAAATGGCGAAACTCAACCGCATCAAAGGCAAAGCGAAAGGCGCTAAGGGGAAGAAGAGACGTTGATTTCCCCGAAGGAGAGATTCATGTCACTGTTCGTTATTGTAAAGGACGCCGATGCGGAGTCGTCAATAAATTGCGCGCGTGTACATACAATAAGCAAGAGTCCAAAATACTCTAATTATCATAGTTCCTGGTGAGTCATTTTTTATTCATCATCATGAGTTTACTCTTCAAATTCACTCTATTTTGGATCACGATTCCGCAATCATCATGCCTGATCGTGAGGGCAGCCTAACCCTATCCCCGAGCGGCGGATTCCCGATGGACGGCAGATATTTGGACCGTTTCGGATCACCATTTTGAATGATCCAGTCATATATGCATCGTCCCGAAAATGCCCACTGGGGGAAGCGTCCCGCTGAGGAATATAGAGGAAGGATTCCAGCATCGATGAGACCTCGACTTATCCATCGTCGATCATCGTTTCGAATCGCTCGCTAATTTTTTGAAAAAGCCCGGGCTCGGTTTCGACTGAATCCTCCATCCAGAAAGCACTCCGCCGGAGGGTAAACTCAGACGTTATGTTTTGATCAAGAGTTCTTTTTCGCTACAGCAGCCGCAAGCCTGCCGCTATTCTCTCTAGAAGCGGCTCCTTGTGTCGTGGTTGCCGAGAAGCTCTTCAAAAGTCCTCTGTTGCGAGACTGCGCTCGTTCGGGAATCAGTGTATATCTGAAATCGATTGATCATGCCGAAGAATAAGGGTGAGTGACTCAGGTCTTGTGATTGTCTTTGGGGTATTGCGATAGAGCCCGCACGCTGACATATTGTTTCATCTTAGAATTCCGACGTTTCTCCACGGAACCAAATCCGAAACTGAGATTATGACCCCGATGGAGTATCTCTCACTAGATGGGTCCACTAGTTTCTGGGCCGTCTTGAATCGCTCGAGCGATTGATTCTCCATTGTTCTTGCCGGCCCCTTGACGGCTCCGAATCTGACGAATGTCTTTTTCCAGGAAAGGGAGGTAAAAACAGGAGAAGAGGAAAGAACGAGAACGAGGCAGAGAAGAGAGAGTTGGTCTTCAAAGAAGACGGTCAAGGTAAATACTTCAAGCACACCTGGACCCGGAGGGTCTCAGATCGCAATCGAGAAAAAACTCCGAGTGTCCGAAAAGGCTGTCCTCATGGAGGATCCGCCTCTTCCCGACTAGCGAGACGGATGAAGAACGTCGGTTAGCGCTAAGTCTCGAAGAGGGGATTTAGAAATCCGGCTTGCTTCGTTCACCCTGATGTGTTGCATTTATGATCACTCAGAGAGACCCTCGGAAGAGGTGCCCTTCCAGAGTGGGAATAGATACTGAGATGCTATGGAACCACTCACTGTGAGACACCTGACCAAAGTTCTTTCCCTTCCAGAATATGCGCAAGTGGTGAAAATGTTGGGAAACGGTAGGCTAGAGGCAATGTGCTTCGATGGCACGAAGCGGTTGTGCCATATCAGAGGTGAGTTCGGCAACCCATCATCGATTCAGAGGAAATCCCATCCTGCACTCAGACCCGGAGCACCGGATAGGAATTTTGGAATTAATCGCTCGACATCTCTTTGATCTGCAGGTAAACTCCGTAAAAAGGTCTGGATCAATCAGGGCGACATCATTCTAGTTGGTCTCCGAGACTATCAAGATGCGAAAGCCGATGTGATTCTGAAGTATAATCCCGACGAGGCGCGTAATCTTAAATCGTATGGAGAGCTTCCCGAGCATGCGAAGATCAACGAAAACGTTGCGTTCGGGGAAGAGGAAGAAGACGACAACATTGAGTTCGACGACGTGTCTGGCGATGAGGATATTGACGACATCTGAGGAAAACTCAAGGAGACTCGAGTCCGCAGTCCGCTGCTGTACAAAGCTGTGTATGGAACCAGCAAGGAATACCCTTATTTACCGTTCGTGGAGAGATCCAACGCCCTCGAGTTCAATGCTATCTTGATCGGGGGTCGTTCCTGAATAAATATATTTGTTCCAATTGAACTGAACCGCTCGTCGAACTCAATCGACGAATAATATTCATCTGAAATCGAGTTCCGCCCAGCGGTTTCCCCATCCCAGCTCGATTCATTCATTAGGAACACCTTACGAGACCCACACTGCGGAAATATCGCAGCGTTAGATTACGGAAAGCCTCTGGGATTTTTTCGAGGACCGTATTCTTAAAGGCCCGACTCTCCGTTCGCGGATGGGGATGGAAGCTTTTTGGGGGGAACCAGGTCCGATTTCGTCGGCCGGAGCCTAAGTTCTTTGAGCAAATATCTGGGGACTGCGAAGATGGGTCCCGAGGACTGACCTTTCAGCTTCCAGGGCCTTGATGCGGTCAATATGGCGCCGAGAACCGGAACGAGGTCATACCTCCTCCTTCTCCTCGAAGGACAGCCGAGATCCCCAGGTAGTAAGCATTAGAGATAGTCTCAGCTCGTCTCATCATGACTAATTGATCAACCGGCATCTTCTCCTGTCCATGAGAGGATGATGAGGATAATCGCTTTACTCAGTCTGCTTGAGTCTTCCGCTCGACGAAAAAGAAAATTTCCAGTTTATCAATTCGTCCACCATGGGAAGAACTCTGTTCTCGCCCGCCTCTCCTCTCTCTCTAGTATTCGCGTATTCGCTGGGCCAGATTCCCGACGAGGGTGTAATCATCATCGAGCTGCTTGTTCAGCTGACGCTGAGAGAGGTAGATGATTGTACCTCCTAACAGCCGCTTCCGAATCATGACTCCCGATTACGGCGCGCTCCGGGCTCGCTCGATTCTCTCAACGAAGCATCATACGTCCCTTTGATCGATAAAACTCCATGTCGGAGGCAGAATAAAAGTACACGTATACAGACTTTGAAGGATCGCGACCTCGTAATACTTGGTGGCCCTCAAAAGGGCCGTTTTTTTCGCTTTCAGTGGGAAGACTTAGGCGGCAGCCTTGTCGGTCTTCTTGGGGAGAAGGACGGCCTGGATATTGGGCAGGACACCTCCCTGGGCGATGGTGACACCCGAGAGAAGTTTGTTCAATTCTTCGTCATTACGGATGGCCAACTGAAGATGACGGGGGATGATTCTGGTCTTCTTGTTGTCACGGGCGGCGTTTCCTGCCAACTCAAGAACTTCAGCAGCCAGGTACTCGAGGACGGCAGCGAGGTACACGGGGGCACCAGCTCCGACACGCTCGGCGTAGTTCCCTTTCCGGAGAAGACGGTGGATACGACCGACGGGGAACTGGAGTCCCGCACGAGAAGACCTGGTCTTCGCCTTCGACTTTGCCTTTCCTCCCTTTCCGCGTCCTGACATGCTGATTGTTTCGTGTTAGAGAATCGTCGAATGCGTGTGGCCTCGACGCGCTCCTCCTTATAGCCTAAGGTGAGGGTGATTTTGGCGGTCTCTCTCAATCCGGGGCAGAAAAGGCGCGCTTTTCACCTCCCCATAAATACTTAAATAGATTCGCGAGATGGACGTTCATCACTCTCGTCTGAGCTCGAACTGAACGATGCCGCCTGCAGCGAGTGGGAAGGCTGTGAAGAAGGCCGGAAAGGCCCAGAAGAATGTCCGTGCGACCGACAAGAAGAAGAAGAAGCGCAGGAGGAAGGAGTCCTTCTCCATCTACATCTACAAAGTCTTGAAACAAGTTCACCCCGACACTGGTATCTCATCGAAAGCCATGTCGATCATGAACTCGTTCGTCAACGACATCTTCGAGCGTATCGCCGCTGAAGCTTCTCGTCTGTCCCACTACAACAAGAGGTCGACCATCACCTCCCGGGAAGTTCAGACGGCTGTGAGGCTCCTTCTCCCCGGAGAATTGGCCAAGCACGCCGTCTCTGAAGGAACCAAGGCTGTTACCAAATACACCTCTTCGAAGTAAGCGTCCACCAAGGGCGAAAAAAAAGGCCCTTATCAGGGCCACCAAAATTCAAAAGATCACTCTCCTCAGAAGCACCGTCCCCTAAAATTCTTAGTCGCCCGCTTCTCCATAAATATTAGGATCTTGTTGTCGGACCTTCCGAGAGAGAGAGATTCGAGCATTCGGTTTCCATTACTCAAGTTTCAGGGCGACATATCTGTTCGCAAGCGAAGTTATTGGTAAAAAAATGCGCAAAGTCGCGACTTTCAGGCCTTGATTCCTTGACATGCTACATCTCGCGACTCTCCATGCATGAAATACTCCTCTGGTTCGACAGAGTGATATCAAAAGTAGGAAATGAACGTTGGAACTAGACACGAGAAATTCAAAGATGGGTGGTCCTTCAGTATTGTTGGACAGTTTCCAACCGAGGAGCGGTTCCCGCTGGTCCTACTGATGACCAGAGAGCAAGTCACGGGCATCCCACTATTCCGACTAATTCTTGGTTCAAAACTCATCCATGCAACCTATGGTGCTCGGTTTAGTCATCATCCCCTCGCCGTTTCGTCTTACGAACAATTCTGCGACTAGACTCTCGAGAGTCTGGAAAACTACCATGTTGTCGACCATCCGTCGACTTACAATTTTCATTCGTTCCATACGATTCGTACCTAGTTCGTTCTACCATAGGTCTGAGCCAATCCAATCGCTATATCTGGCCAATGCTACCAAGCGTCTCGTTTGAGCTATCCCCCGATAAATGTCAGGTCCATTTGAATTTCGGAGTAGGAGTCCGATATTTCAAACGAAGCTCTGCAGCCGGAAGGATGATCTCTTTGAATATGGTGGCCCTTAGAAGGGCCGTTTTTTTCAAGCGATTGGCTTAAGCACGTTCTCCACGAATACGACGAGCCAGTTGGATGTCCTTGGGCATGATGGTGACACGCTTGGCGTGAATGGCACACAAGTTGGTGTCTTCGAAGAGTCCAACGAGGTAAGCCTCAGAGGCCTCCTGGAGAGCCATGACGGCTGAGCTTTGGAAACGGAGATCGGTCTTGAAGTCCTGAGCGATTTCACGAACAAGTCGCTGGAAGGGCAACTTGCGGATCAAGAGCTCAGTCGACTTCTGGTAACGACGGATCTCACGGAGAGCCACGGTACCGGGCCTGTAACGATGGGGCTTCTTGACTCCACCGGTGGCCGGTGCGGACTTACGAGCAGCCTTGGTGGCGAGCTGCTTACGAGGAGCTTTTCCTCCAGTGGATTTACGCGCGGTTTGCTTCGTACGAGCCATGATTACAAACTTCGAAGTCTAGTTTCGACAATGAAGGTTTCTCGAGGTGCCGTCGAGCCTTTATGGTCTGGAGCATGGGAGAGAGGAGCGTTGGGGGAGGAGTTTCACAACGAACAATCTATGAGCCCCGAAATATGTAATCGGAAAGAATAATTTAGGCTCATGAAGAAAGCTGGTAACTTCTCTCTCAATATGAGGAGATCGCATTCGATAGGTTCAGAAATGATGTCAAGCTCCTCTAATATTGTTCTAGAAATACGAATTCACGGAATTGGCGCGCTCACGCCGGTGGCGGGTGAAAGGAGAGCACCATTCTCCTCTCCCCTCGGAACCCATGTTAGCGATCGACGGTGCTCTCCGGGCGTATATAAACGACTCCATTTTGAAGCCGAGCATTCAGTTTCTGTTATCCGAGGAAACATGTCTGGACGCGGCAAGGGAGGAAAAGGTCTTGGAAAGGGTGGCGCCAAGCGTCATCGTAAAGTTTTGCGTGACAACATCCAGGGTATCACCAAGCCCGCCATCCGTCGTCTGGCTCGTCGTGGTGGAGTCAAGCGTATCTCTGGTCTGATCTACGAGGAGACCCGAGGTGTCCTCAAGGTCTTCTTGGAGAACGTCATCCGTGACGCTGTCACCTACACCGAGCACGCCAAGAGGAAGACTGTCACCGCCATGGACGTCGTCTATGCTCTGAAAAGACAAGGACGTACTCTCTACGGTTTCGGAGGTTAAATCTCTCCCCATCGGCCTCGCGGTCCAGAAAAAAAACGGCCCTTTTCAGGGCCACCAAACTGAACAAGCTCACTATCCTCTCGCGAAGTCATTTCTTCCGGGAAACTTCCTAAGAGATTTCACGATACGACGAGAGATCCGATCCGTGACAGGAGTCTAGGAAATCCTCAAGGAGTGGAACATATCGCTCATTCATGGGGGCCTGCAGCTCGACGTGGCCGCTCATGTCTACTCACAACGACTCATGTGACTTGATCGATTGTTCTCTCCATCGATGTTCTCCTTGGAATCGCATCCAGCCCCTCACATGGCGAACGATTGCCATAATCATCGGAATCGATGCCCCCAAGACTGATCGCTCATTTGAACTCAAGATTCGATTTAATCTAGATGCTCGGCTCCATTGATGCATGGAAACATAGACAGTGTCGCTTCCCTCTGAGGACGCTCAGGGCGAAATATTCAGTACTATAGTACTCTAGCCTCGGGCGAACTCGGCATATAATTTCATCAGCAGACCGGGACCGTCTCGCTTCATACGAGGCATAATATTCGCAGTGATCGATTGCTGACCCGAGCATTGCCCTCTTCCGGATACAATTTTCCGCAGACGATCGACCGACTACCGACGCTACTTACCGATGCAAATCGATGTCGAGTAGCCTCCGATGGGGGTGAAGTTCCGCAATTGAAAACTCCAAGCACTCGAGCGATCAGATCCAGATCAGACTAGGCTTTGCCTTCTTCCCTCCGGGAGGCTCGCATCACTCATGGGTTCCTGAACCAACGCTATGTTCTACCTATATACCGTCGGTAAATTGAATTCAGGAGATTGTTCGAAATTCCCATCTAATGTTTGTTTCCTCTAGTCGCAGACGCTAACTGACAGAGTCAGATTGATATTTCACGCGATTCAATACATTAGATGAGCTGAGTACTGATCTCCTCGATTTTGGTGGCCCTTAAAAGGGCCGTTTTTTTCGCCTCCGATGGGGAGACCTAGGCCGCGGCCTTGTCGGTCTTCTTGGGGAGAAGGACAGCCTGGATGTTGGGCAGGACACCACCCTGGGCGATGGTGACACCCGAGAGAAGTTTGTTCAATTCTTCGTCATTACGGATGGCCAACTGAAGATGACGGGGGATGATTCTGGTCTTCTTGTTGTCACGGGCGGCGTTTCCTGCCAACTCAAGAACTTCAGCAGCCAGGTACTCGAGGACGGCAGCGAGGTACACGGGGGCACCAGCTCCGACACGCTCGGCGTAGTTCCCTTTCCGGAGAAGACGGTGGATACGACCGACGGGGAACTGAAGTCCCGCACGAGAAGACCTGGTCTTCGCCTTCGACTTGGCCTTTCCTCCCTTACCGCGTCCAGACATGTTCAGAATATCGTTTTCAAAAAGCAACGAATGCTCGTCTGAGGTGCTCCTCGCCTTATATACGACGCCGCTCAGGCAGCGCCGACCATTACCCTCTCCCAGAGCGAGCGGAGTTGGCGCTGTTTTCGCCCGGCTCAAATCACTTAAATACAAGGAGCGCGCTCTAGACACTCAACCTCGTTTGAGTTCGAACTGAACAATGCCGCCTGCAGCGAGTGGAAAAGCTGTGAAGAAGGCCGGAAAGGCCCAGAAGAATGTCCGTGCGACCGACAAAAAGAAGAAGAAGCGCAGGAGGAAGGAATCCTTCTCTATCTACATCTACAAAGTCTTGAAACAAGTTCACCCCGACACTGGTATCTCATCGAAAGCCATGTCGATCATGAACTCGTTCGTCAACGACATCTTCGAGCGTATCGCCGCTGAAGCTTCTCGTCTGTCCCACTACAACAAGAGGTCAACCATCACCTCCCGGGAAGTTCAGACCGCTGTGAGGCTCCTCCTTCCCGGAGAGTTGGCCAAGCACGCCGTGTCTGAAGGAACCAAGGCTGTTACCAAATACACCTCTTCGAAGTAAGCGTCCACCAACTGCGAGAAAAAAGGCCCTTATCAGGGCCACCAAAATCCAAAAGATACACTCTCCTCAGAAGCATCGTCCCCTAAAATTCTT